CCTCTCCCCCCCCCACACCCCTTATCCCCACGTACCGCAGTCGAGGAATTCTCCACCTCGGCGCTGGTCCCGGCGGGCGCTCAGCCGTACCACTACGTGGTGAGGGACACGGAGCACAAAGGTCTCTACCTGAGGGACGGGCGTTTGGTGGCCGCCAACCTGCAGGGTGCCAACGCCGACCAGGAAGGTGAGTGCTGGGAGGTGGGGGGCGTCACCCGCACCCATAGGGTGCCCCCCACCCACCCCCGTCTCCCCGCAGAACCCATCAGCGTGGTGCCCAACCGGCACCTGGAGCGCCAGCGGTGTCCCCTCCTGGTGGGGATTCGTGGGGGCACCAAGGCGTTGTCCTGTGGCACCGGCCCCGAGCCCCGACTGCAGCTGGAGGTGAGCGTGGGGGGGTGTCAGTGAGGGGGGGGCTGGAGGTGGGGCAGCTCCGGGTGGGGGCAACTCGGGGTGGTGGGGATGTGGGGGGTGGGCAACACTAAGCGGGTTGCGTGGTGGGACGAGGTGAGGTGGGATTCCAAAGGTGCGGCATCCCAAGGTGGGATAATCCATGGAGGACACAGCGTGGTTGGACATCCCACGATGGGACATCGAATGATGGGACACCCCAAGTTGGGACACCCTATGGTGGGACATCGTGTGGTGGGACATCCCATAGTGGGACATCCTGAGGTGGGACACCCCAGCATGGACATCCCGTGGGGGGACACTCCATGGCTGGACATCCAATGATGGGACACCCCAAGTTGGGACATCCCATGATGGGACACCCCAGGGTGAACATCCCATGGTGGGAGATGCCCTGGCTGGACATCCAATGATGGGACACCCCAGGTTGGGACACCCCATGGTGGGACATCCCAAGGTGGGACACCCCAGGGTGAACATCCCATGGTGGGAGATGCCCTGGCTCTACATCCCATGATGGAACAACCATGGTGGACATCCCGTGGAAGACAAACCATGGCTGGACATCCCATGGTGGGATCCCAATCCAATGATGGGACGCCCCAAGTTGGGACATCCCATGGTGGGACATCCTGAGGTGGGACACCCCAGGGTGAACATCCCATGGTGGGACACTCCATGGCTGGACATCCCATGGTGGGACACCCCAAGTTGGGACATGCCATGGTGGGAGATGCCATGGCTGTAAATCCCACAATGGAACAACCATGGGTGGATGGACGTCCCATGGAAGACAAACCATGGCTGGACATCCCATGTCCTGTGGTGGGACATCCCATGGTGGGACACCCCAAATTGGGACATCTCATGGTGGGACATGCCATGGTGGACATCCCGTGGAAGACAAACCATGGCTGGACATCCCATGGTGGGATCCCAATCCAATGAGGGACACCCCAAGTTGGGACATCCAGTGATGGAACACCCCAAACTGGGACATCCCATGATGGGACATCCTATGGTGGGACGCCCCAGGGTGAACATCCCATGGTGGGACACTCCATGGCTGGACATCCCATGGTGGGACACCCCAAGTTGGGACATCCCATGGTGGGACACAGCATGGCTGGACATCCCATGACAGGAAATCCCACGATGGAACATCCCATAGCAGGACGTCCCATGATGGGAAACCCCAGGGTTGACACATCCTGTGGTGAGACATCCCAAGTTGGGACACAGCGTGGTGGGACACCCCGAGATGGGACATCCCGTGGTGGGCACCCCATTGTGGTGGCACCTGGAGATGTTGGCAACCCAAAGCATCCTGAGGTCTTGGGGTGGTGCAAGTGGGGGCAACTGTGGGTGGTGGCACCCCGAGATGGTGGCACCTGGAGGTTGGGGTCCCTTGGGTTGGCATCACACCAAGATGGTGTCACATGAAGGCGGGGTTCTATGGGGCGGTGACCCCTGGATGTGGGGCTCTATGGGGCAGTGATCCCTGGAGGCTGGGTTCTATGGGGCAGTGATCCCTGGAGGTTGAGTTCTATGGGGCAGTGACTCCAGATGTTGAGTTCTATGGGGCAGTGTCCCCTGGACGTTGGGTTCTATGGAGCACTGACCCCTGGATGTGGGGCTTTATGGGGTGGTGATCCCTGGAAGTGGGGTTTTATGGGGCGGTGACCCCTAGATGTGGAGCTCTATGGGGCAGTGATCCCTGGAGGTTGAGTTTTATGGGGCGGTGACCCCTGGATTTTGGGTTCTGTGGGGCGGTGACCCCCGGATGTGGGGCTCCATGGGGCAGTGACCCCAGATGTTGAGTTCTATGGGGCAGTGTCCCCTGCAAGTTGGGTTCTATGGGGTGGTGACCCCTGGACGTTGGGTTCTATGGGGCGGTGACCCCTGGATGTGGGGCTCTATGGGGCAGTGATCCCTGGAGGCTGATTTCTATGGGGCACTGACCCCTGGATGTGGGGCTCTATGGGGCGGTGTCCCCTGGACGTTGGGTTCTATGGGGCACTGACCCCTGGATGTGGGGCTCTATGGGGCAGCGACCCCAGATGTGGAGCTCTATGGGGCAGTGACCCCTAGAAGTTGGGTTTTATGGGGTGGAGACCCCTGGATGTGGGGCTCTAAGGGGCAGTGACCCCAGATGTTCAGTTCTATGGGGCAGTGTCCCCTGCAAGTTGGGTTCTATGGGGTGGTGACCCCTGGACGTTGGGTTCTATGGGGCGGTGACCCCTGGATGTGGGGCTCCATGGGGCAGTGACCCCAGATGTTGAGTTCTATGGGGCAGTGACCCCTGAATGTGGGGCTCTATGGGGCAGTGATCCCTGGAGATTGGGTTTTATGGGGCAGTGACCCCTGGATTTTGGGTTCTGTGGGATGGTGACCCCCGGATGTGGGGCTCTATGGGGCAGTGTCCCCTGGAAGTTGGGTTTTATGGGGCAGTGAACCCTGGATGTGGGGCTTTATGGGGCAGTGACCCCTGGAAGTTGGGTTCTATGGGGTGGTGATCCCTGAAGGCTGTATTCTATGGGGCAGTGACTCCAGCTGTAGGGTTCTATGGGGTCGTGTCCCCGGAAGTTGGGTTTTATGGGGCGGTGACCCCCGGATGTAGGGCTCCATGGGGCGGCCCCACGCGGAGGTGCCCACACCTTTCGATCCCGCAGGAGGTGAAGCTGTTGGATCTGTTCGCCTCGCAGGACGCGGCCATTCCCTACACGTTCTACAAGACGTTCGGGGGCAGCACGCACAGCTTCGAGGCCGCCGCGTTCCCGGGCCATTTCCTGAGCACCGCCCCGCAGTCCGACCAGGAGCTGGGCCTGGCGCCGCGCACCGCCCCGGGCTCCATCACGTCCTTCTACCTGCGGCGCCGGTGACGGGGGGCGGCCCCCCCATAGAAATAAAGGCGCTGCCCGCAGTGTCTGCGTGTGTGCGGTTACGGGCCGGGCCCCGTTTGGGGGCCGTTCAAGGCCATCCGGCCCAACCCCCCCGCGCCGAACAGGGTCGCAACGCGGCTCCAGGAGGGGCCGCTCCGTGACCCCCCC